TGGTGAATATATTTTAACTATACTATTGAACATCATATATCTAATTGATAAATGTAGACGACCACCGAATAATAAATTTCTGACACAAGGAAATTTGCGTCTAGATAGCAACAAAAAGGTAATTATAAAAAAAAAAATATCAATAAAAATCTCAACACACATATCTTGTATGTATAAAATAACCCACAATATCATATAATAATGCGTTACTGTTTTGCTGCAACTGGAACAACCGCCGTCCATTGATTTGATTACATATCCGTTCGTACGATTGGCAATCGACTGATCCAACAGAAGTGGCATGCATATGGCGTATATTACAAATATATGATCAGTCACGCGTGCAAATAATAATATTACTTATAGTTTTCATGTGATACGGTTTGCATTCGTGTGCAAAACCAAAAATATATATATATATATATTATATATATAAAAAATAACATATCTTGTGCTTATTGCGACGGCCGTAAACGCGCGGGCATATATAATCATTCCACGACCGTTCAGAGTACATCAGACAAGTCAAGCCAAAAAAATCCCATATTAATAAAAAAAAATCACCGCACGTCCGAAATCATCGGATCATAGGTACGCAGACTACTATAGTAAAAACGTTGTAGTCGTATATGCTACACGAAGGCTTGAGGTATAAAACAGGTATTTTTTCGGATATCGATTTCTCGACCGTCAAATGAATAAATATCGATACCTGCAGTAAAATACTATTAAATTCTCTTTTTAATGACCACGATAACGAGTACTGCACAAAAGGATAAATTAACTAGACCCCACAGTATTTACACTTTATAACTCTAAGGTCGCTTCACTCTCGAACAACTAACCACGATAACGAGTATTGGATGTCCGAGAGTGAGCTATCTCTATCGTAGACCGAAACGTTTTCTTTCTCAAAGAACCGCGATAATGAGTACCGGAAAAGAAAACAAGAACATCAGTGTCATAAGTACATTTAAAAAGTGTTTTCTCGCCGTATTCGCCTTTGTATGCACATATTATATTAAAATAAATATTTTTTAAAAAAAAAAACAAATCTATTATTTTAAAAGTCAACTATAATAAAATAAATCAAACAATTACATAAGTTGAACCTGGTCGTTAATGATAACACTCCTCGAATGACTGACCGTCGTTGCCGTAGCCTTTTATTGCCTTCAGATTTCAGATGACTCGGCGTCGTTGTTTTTTTACCTCGTAAAGTTACTAAATATATACAACAATTAGAAACAACGTGAAACACGTGATTGCGAGACGTGCAAAGTTTTAAATTTGGCCTGACCATGGACACCTATGATTATTAAAAGAATAACAAGTGGTTTAAATAAAGTGAAATAGACACATGATTTGAACAACTAATGAACTTTCACCGGACACTAACGCATAATTAGTGCATAGTATTGTAATTTTGTTGCACTTGAGTAGTGAGATTAGTTAAATCCGGATGCATACACTGATGTCAGAGCTTCTTAATATTATACAATAAAAACTTACAACGAATAGATTCTTGAATCGTCCGAAGAAAGTGTTGAGTAGATGATATCTGGATGGTATAAATTGATAACTGTATTGTTAACTGGCCATTTTAATATGATAATTTGAAATCATTTTAATTTTATGTAAACTTCATGTACCATTGTATTTTTGTCAGTTAATTTATGATTATAAAATTTTTTTTTTTTGTTATCAATTTTTGTTTCTATTTTAATTTTCACATACAATAATGCATTAGGTTTGGACCGTGTTATTTGATTTATGTTTTCTGTGTGCGAATTAAAAGAGCTGCTGTTTATTAATGTCTAAAATGCGGTAATTTCGAATGATGCACATTATTACAGAACGAACTGAGCATTTCAAACATTTTTCGAATACGAACAATATTTAAGACGTCGTATAAATAAAATAAAAAAAATTAACGTCTGACTACCGTTGAGTAATAATTACATTCGGACTTGGATTTTGATAAAAATGAGCGTACAGTCCAACAGTTACGTTCATCACCGAGGTCCGTGTACGAGTGCAGTCCAAAAAATGCGTAAAAAATATACATAGATTTATATTTTGTTCCACGGTGTCAAGAACGCAACTTGATTCTTATGCGTAACATGACAATAGTCGTCGGCCAAGGAATTCTTTCGTGTTCGATTTACAATAGCTCGACGACGGAAGAGTTCACGGACGTTTGTCGTCGATTAATTAGCGCCACGAAAACGCTAACCGCTTATCCGACCGCGTGGTTGTAATTTAGCAGCAGACGCATGTGACAGGACATGGGGTCGATTTCGGTACACGGAGCGTAGGACGTCGGGTTGGAATCGGAGTACGTTTAGATCATCGATTCGTTCGGTCGAGCGATCCGCAAATGGATTGAAATGGAAAATTATTAAACCAGGAACGATTTATGTCATACGGTATTTCGTAGAACTTATAATACGAATTGCGTATGATTAATTAATAGTACCGTGTACAATAAGTTAGATACTTTTTTACTCGTGTTTATTGTTACACCGTAAAATTTGCTTTTGCCACTGATAACATAATTTTGTCAAGGTTCAAAAAATTCGTGATGTCGCATTTTCGTTCAGTGTCGACCGTGCGGTCACCCGGTGGAACGATATTCGGGTTAAGTCTTTACTTCTCGATATCAGTCAAGCGCACGATTAACTCTTCGTCCCGTGGGCTTTCCTTGTCCAATAGCAGACAAAGCAATCTTGTCACAAGCACAAACACACACATACATACACACTCGTATATTGTTGGATATGTAACGGCCAATCAGGTTAAACATTATAAATAATTATTATGGTGTTTTCCATGTATTCTACGATACAATAAAATGTAATATCCGTTCAAATTTCTTTTTTAATAATAATCTTATTGTAAAGTTAATAATGATACGCAAATACCTGCACGTGAAGCATTGTGATCTTCATCATTATACGAGGGAAATCACACATGTTTGTTTTGTTGATAACGTATAATATAATATAATATATATATATATATATTATGGTATAAGGGTTGATTAATTTGCCTTGGCCGTGGAATCTCAAATTTATTATATATAGATGAATATAATTTACTATAATTATAAGAGAATACGATTGCGACTATTATTAACGAATGTTCGCCGGATCGATAAGTTTATGTTAGCAGGCCGAGTACAAATAATTCCGTTTTTTCTGCCAGAAAAGAATAAAAAACTGCAAGATTATGTCCGAACAGTGAAATCATATACGGTAATGCCTCTTAAATAAATAATAGTCGCACTTGTAATTGTAATAAATAATCAAAAGCATTCAAACTCCCTCCACAAGCTTAAATATTAACAACAAATTCTATGGCAATATATAAAGGCATCAAATGCCTTTACATCATATATACATAAATCCAAACAAAATATATAATATTCTTCGATTCATTTATCATAGAAAAAATCTGCCAAGCCTTAGGACCGAACCCACACAATAAAAGGAACATAATTTTATTTATTAAAAAATCCGAACTGCATGAATTAATACGAATAAATTTAAATAACTCAAACGTGCCTACATATACAATTGGCCAAGTTTTCGATGTACTTACGATGGATAATACAAAAAAAAAAAAGAAAAAAACCATTCCGTTTTAGTCATAATACTATTCGGTCATCATCCCCACGATAGGAACCTTGGGACATGAATGTGGTTTTTTTTCTCATTACTCGTTTACGGATTGCGTAGTGTTCGTCTCGTTGTGTTCACCCGGAGAATATCTCGTGAGGCCAAGTACAACGTAATGTATTATTGTAACGCCGTCGGGTAACCAAAAAAATATTGACACACGACGCTCGTAGGCTTAAAGTGAAAAAGTTTATTTCTGATCGCAGGCCCGGCGGCGGACGGAGACGACGTAAACGCGTACGAAACGCGGTGTTTTTCGCGTGAGGTATAAAACCGACGTGCTCCTCGTATACGCTTGTCTGCGTTTCGTCGAAGTGCGCTGGAATATTTCGGTTCATTGTTTCCACCTCGTGCCAGCCACCCGAGTATATGCAAATATGTATTAAAATATATATACATGGTGCGCTGTCATCTGCACGTAGTAGTGCTGTTTTCCCGCAGGTATTATAATATTATTCGGTCGCGAGGAAGTCTGCCACGCACAAAATATGATACTTAAAAAGTGTACGTAGTCGTGATGAAATTTCCGAGCAATGGACTACACGGAAATACGTCCTGTTTTGAAATACAAAATTATTATTTTGTTTTCTGGTTGAGCGTTTCGTTTTCGTGGACAACATAAAACGTAATGGTGCGAAAAGAGTAGTGACAGAAAGGGCGAAGCAGTATCTTATTCGGTAGAAATATTCTCACAGACTTATAAATAATAAGCAGAGCCGGTAACTATTTGATGTTTTTTTTTTTCATTTTTTTTTTTCCGTTCGCAGAATCAGCTTTCTAATGGGGGTTAGTGATTTTGGTATTTTTCCTTTAAAATCATTTCCCAATCCATCTTGAACTATTTGATCTACGTTATTTTCTATTTCATTGTGAATTTTTTGGACATTTGAAACGTTATGTTCATTTTAGATTTAAATAGAAATATTAATATTTTTGGATGTCCGGAGATTGTATTTGAAATTATTATAAATTATTCAAGTACACATTTTCGGAGGAAATTATATTTCCAATACATGCCATACGAGTTCGTGACATATGAACACATGTCATGGAATCTCTTGCTAGAATGCTTCTAGTTTGTGGTATCAACTATAGACACACCGAATGTAACTAAAAATTTGATATACAATAATAACGAAAATGTCTGTCCCCGGCTCCCTAACGGTAACCTAGGGTTTTTTCAATCTTAAAATTTTATGATCATTGATCGGTTCTATACACTTGTGTGAATTAAATTATTTGTATAATATATATTTTTTAACAAAAAAGCTAGAGAGTAATACAAACCGACCACTTTTAAAATTTCAATTTTTGCACTGAGTTAATACTGATGTATTATTTATATTACATATAGATACATAAATATGTAGTTTTTTGGACATATTACTTCTTTAAATTTAAGGTGGATTTACATGATGCGAATATAATGTGCGAGGCATGATGTGTGAGGCAAGGCACGATTTGTTTCGATCAGTGTGAACTTGAATAATTATTGTGTATTATTCGAGTCAATGCAAGAATGGCTAGTGACGAATGGAAGCTCAGTCGGTATTTGGATGCCAATAAAGATTCATCTATTTGCTTCACACCGTGTTTACTGTTTCTTGTCGCATATTGTCTTATTGTCTCTTATACATTACAAATCAAAATCAATGTATTAAATTTTTTTTTAAGTATACAGACATTTGTAGAAACACTTACCTTAACATATTCTCAAAGCGAGTCAATTATTCCATCACATGCACTCGGAATGATTCCTGATATTGAACACTTGGAAACTCTGAATAAATAATATTGCAGGCTTGTAAATTAATTATTTGTGACAAGATATTTTAGTGTGATAGCTAACCTTTACTTTACAGTACTTGCATTTCTCGTGTTGGTATCCATTCTTGTAACTTTTGAATCTCCAATGTCATACGAGTGAATATTTTAATTATGTTGTCTACAAGTTTGCCTTGCATATCTTTCACGAATCTATTATCACACTGCAATCACTGATGAAACAGTTTTCTGTACCACCAACGTCGTTTACGCAATGATTCTTCTTTTTTTTTCAATACAACTTGCATTGCAATAATAGAAAATGATGCAGATACAGCTGGAAGCACTAATATACGTATTGTCACCATCCCTGCTCCACATTAACTATGGCTCACCTTGATTCATCTAGCTTTGCGTGTTAGATACGTTTTATGTAAATATTTGGGCGAATCAGCTGTTTAATGAGGCGTTCTTGTGTATCTAGACGCATCAGACCAGCCTTGAGAATTATAAAGTAAATATACGTTATGTACATAAGTGTTTTACTGTACAGTGTATTAGAATCAAATATTTTTTACAAGGTAAAGAAAAACATAAAATTTCACTGAATGTTCGAGTCTACTAATTTTTTTTTTTTTTCGATTTATAAATTATATTGGTACTTATCTTGATGTTTTTGCTGTACGATTCCATTCTATGTCAGTCGAGTTTGCCACTTACTTATTTTTTCTACGATAACTCAATGTTTTGCAATTTTCTAGTCAACTGTAAAACTGTCACAGTATTCGAGTATGATTTATTATCTTGATTAATTTTATAATCGATGGAATGGTTTCAGTTTGATGATTTTGTGTCATCTGAACTAGTTGAACAGTTTTTGTCAGCCGATGTTTCAGTAATAGGCTAGAATTATGTTGGAACAATTTTTTGAAATATTAATATGTTCTCTTTAATGGAATATGATTTTTCATAATTTGATTTAGTTATAATTTACGGTTAGGCGTACGAGTTATTTTTAATAATGTTTAAAAGACTTCGGTTTGTTATTTTAAATGGTAGATGGATCAAATTTAATTTAAGTAGCGGTTTCTGATAGATTATTGAATGGGTTAGTGATTTTAATAAAACTGCGCCTATATTAAACTAAGTGCTATGTGTTGATTGTATTAATAGTTGACGGAAGTAGTATTTAAAGTAAATTATAATACATTTGCAGAAAGAAGGAGAGAGAAAGAAATATGTTGGAAAGTTATGTATACGGCTTACGTCTTTTTTGATTTGTGATTTTGAAGTTAAAAATAATTATGTGTTTCGAATCAATATCTATTATAGTCATTATAATTCATGTACCGTGCAGTTAACATCCATTGTATATCTCCTTTCGAATCTAAATAATATATATGTGCTGAACGCTCTAAAATTAATTATTTGATGTGTTGATATTAATATTGTTATTAACTGTTTTATTTATGCTTTAGTGTACAGAAAATAGGAATTATTTTTTTTTTTTTTCACTAAAAATGTATCATTACTATAATGGTTTGATTTGTAGTTATACTTAGCACCTGTACTTATATATACTGCTCGAACAAGCTATTGTGTTTGTGTCTGGCCATGACAACCGGTTCCCCCCGATAGCGTGCCGATTATGGAATGTTCGCGGACTTACGGTCGGCGCGCTTCGTCGCGCTGGCATCACGCTCCGGGGCGGCACTTGCAACCGAGCGAGCTGGTGGTGCGTATTACCGCCGGGCGTGTGACTTCTTTTCCTTTGCCGTCGTGCATGTTACCGCCGGGTGTGTGACTTCTTTTCCTTTGCCGTCGTGCGTGTTACCGCCGGGTGTGTGACTTTTCCTTTGCCGTCGTACGTGTTACCGTCGTGCGTATCACCGCCGAGCGTATTATCCCTTTTGCCGTGGTGCGTGGTGTCGTGGTGCGTATTCCCGCCGGGCGTATCATTTCGTTTACCGCTGTGCGTTGATTTCGTTAGCGGTATGGTCGACGGTGGTTTTCGTCGTCACGTGTTTCGTCGTCAACCGTGTTGTGGCTGCCTGTCGACGTTGCGGTCGTGTCCAGTGGCGGGAACATCACTCTCATCGTGGCCGCCGGGAGAACGTGGTTTTGCACTTGATTTTGTATACACAATTTATTATATCTTTTTTTTGTTTTATTATTATTATTATTAGCACCCGAGGGCGCCCTGCTTAAAATATATTATTGTGCCTTTTTATTTTTACTTTATTATTATTATAATAACATTGGTCCGACACCGACCGTAAACTATTATTGTTTTAATTTTATTTATCAATTAGTCACTTTACATTGTGGGCATTTCGATTATCATATAGTAGGTGAATGCGACCTACTTTCCAGTGGTCTCTGGGCCGGACTGTGTTTTAGGTAACTTATACATTTTTTTCTATTGTAAACGAGTTTTATATATTTATTTAATAGTTATAATAAGGTAAATTATTTTTCTTTCTAATATTTGAATTTATAAATGAAAGCAGCAATTTTGTTCGTATGATTTGATCAATCATTAACTCTTTGAGTATTTATTTATAGTGTTAGAGTGTTTTAGATAATTTTAATTTAGTCAAGGTTCTTCTTTAAACATTTTTGCCACTTGTGTTAACATTAATCATGGACTATCTCAATATTGTTTTAGTTGGAAAAATTATTGTTAAGTTTACTAATAAAATACGTTGAAGCATATAATTGTTTGATTCTTATTTACAGACATACGTACAGTTGACAGCTATGGTCCGTTTAATATTTGTTTGTATTAAATTACTTACTACATTGTTCGTAAAACATAAGTTCACAGTGATTGGCAAACTAATATGATATTATTGTCAGACAAACGGCTTTTAAACATGTTTTTGATAGATATTTAAATCGTTTACTGTATTATGATTTTACGGTAGTCGTATGTTTAATTTGTTTCAATAATATGACTTTTGGCGTGACTAGAGAAATTGAAATAAGGTAATAAACTAAATATAAAATCATTCTAATATAACCATTGATCTTTGAACCACGCTTACTGTTGTAAGCATGAAATACTGTAATTCGATTTTAATGAGCTCACAGAATATAATGTATCCTAGATTAAGATAGTATTAACTCATAACTTTGTAAATGACCATTGAAATACTTTTGCTGTACATAACTTATACATTTTTGAATTGTACAACAAGAAGCTTAAGTGCTTCTTCGATACTTTTGACTCGACATAGTTCAAATACATTTGTTTTGTGATAGAAAATTTGTTTTTTTTTTTTTTTTACTACTGCTCGTTGATCATATTGGCTATATTCAATTGTATTTTAAATTGGCACAGAGATTTGTTTAATTTAACTATTTTTTTCCATTTTTCTTCCCAACATGTTATAAATTTGTAATTTTTATTCGTAAAATTGTGATATTAATTGTTTTTAACAACTGGGTTAGGTTAGTATAATAATGTATTATTTTAATATTATTATTATTATTGTTATTAACATTTTATTATTATTATTATAATGATTATATCTTATATACCTATTATAATGTATTCGTGTACCAAATATTGTACATGCATATATAAAATTAATATGCGTGTGTTTTTCGTAGAATATTGCTGCCATTTTAGTCTTTCAGTTACGACCATCCACAAAACAAGCAGATATTAGGTAGTAATATGATGGTATATAGTTGGTTTTGGTGTTTTCAGTATTGGAGTCTGCAGAAAGAGGGATTGTAGGAGGGTTACACTTGTTTGTTTTCACTATGTATAATAACCCTTGTAGTACAATACTGTACTTCATAACACTTCATCTCAGTCTTGATCCTCTCCTTTTACCCGTCATAAATACCACCGTCGTCTCCACCTTCACAATCACCACCAACGCTGACTATATTTGAACACGAGGGATCGATTTTAAATGTTACCTTCCGTCCAGTACAGTCATACCAAACCTCTAATAATTTATACCCACGAGTAGAAATTAACGCAATTATTATAATAAATTGTGAAAAACCTCCAAAAACATAGCCAACTAACTGAATTATAATTTAATGGTTCAATAACGGCAACCGATGTTCGGTATATTTTTATAAGTTGAAAATAAATACATATCGACAAGCCGGTAGGAAAATAAAACGTGTGAGTTTGCGTTCTGTATGCCATATTCGAAGTAGCGTAATCGTTTGTCAGCTGTATAAGCACACCTACTTCGACTCAGTGATGATTTATACGATAACAAATACCATGATAAAAGCGCATGTGACATGCACAAGATTGATGTCTGATTATTTCGATATGAGACGAGCAAAGAACGAGAAGAGAATTCTGAAAATACACAGCGGAACCTCGAATTGATTGGGAAGAAAAAAACGAATTACCAACAATTTGAGTTATTGAAAGAATTGTGTTATATTATATAAAACGTCAACTTTTTATTTTTGATTTCATTTATTGACTAATAAGATTAGATTATTTACTAATATGTATTATCCGAAATATACATAGAAATTAATTATATGAGGTTCCAAACGTATTCACGCCAAGGGTCGTGAAACGGACTCAAGTTATAGGAATGTAATAGAATCGCAAACCCATGGTTGAGGCGTGAGATCAGAGCACGGAGGATTTATTTCTTGAAATTGAGGAAAATAGGGAAATTATTTAAATGGCATGGAAAATAGAATTGATTTATCAAAATAATTTCAATAACAAAATATAACCTCATACGAAAAAACCGTCGGAGTAGAGCATTAAAGCTAACTCCTATTGAACAATTACCGAAAATAAAAAACAAAAACTTGTATAAAATTATAATAAATTAATTTACATATATATATATATATATATATATATATATATATAGGTATATATTATGTTGATCGGGATGGCTTATTGACCAAAAAAGTTTTAAATAAATAAATTTACATTTCAAGTAACATATGCGTAACGTTTTATTGAATTGTGATGTTTGTATGTATATACAATAAAATTTAAAAAATAATTTTATAGTAATTTGTGTATTATATGCATTGTCTTTAGAAGTAAGTTTTGAAGTATTTTGAGTATTTGTCTATACATTTTTCGATCGTATTGAGTGCAGAAAAAAAAAATCTTGTCTAGAATTCCGGTTGAATAATATATTCACGTAATACCCATAGAGTATCCAATCCTTGTGCAAAAACAGTTAAATATATTTCTAAATCGATATCACATCAAAGGCTTACCACTTTAAATGCATTCCATTAACGTACCAAGAAAATATATCCCTTAAATATTGCATAGAAACGCAGGGGCCAAAAAATGTTTCCGAGTTATGGAAATTTGGAATTTTATACTTACAAGTTAGCGAAGT